GATTGCTGAGGGGTAAAGCAAGCGGTGAGAAAGAGAGAAGCATGTGGACGGGGGTAAAAGAAGCCTAAAGAGAATGGCAGGTGTAAGTGGAAGTACTTGGCGCGAAAGTGGAAACAAAACACAAGGGGTTTAGTGTTTTGTGAGGCGAACCGCATTAGGAGACGGGTCTTACTTATACAGCCATTATTTTATTTATACGTTTAGTTTTAGAGGACTCTGAGGGGCATAAGGTGGTTTTTTTTCTTTACTAAACTTTTTTTTTTTTGCATTTGCATATGACAAGATAGGAAATGGGCAAAATCTAACAATGAAAAGAAAGATTCAGACGTGAAACCATTTGGTAAGCGACCCCACAAGGACACCTTTGCAGCTTCATGTTGTTGTTGCTGGTATTATGTACTGTATTCGTCTTTATTGCTTTTTGTTATTCAATTCTTTGTTAGGAAGGTGCTCTTTATGACCTTTGCCTTTGCCTAGTCTCTTCTTATCGCTCCTCTTTGTGGGTTATTCGGTAAATTACGTATTCTTGTCCTTTTTAATCTCCCTCTTTGTTTCTTGTATACAAGTGTTTCATTTCTTATCCCATTTAATCTTTCGATGGTCTTCTCACTTGCTCATATTGTTGGGTTTTCTTTTTCTTCTTTCTTTCTTTTTCTTTTCTTGAGAAAGGAGAGAGGATATCTCAAGAGAGCATTTTTTTTTCATCCGGGGTTTCTGGCATAATCCTTCATCTTCTTGTTAAGATTCTTTCAGATCGATCAAAGTCTTTCATTTTTATACGCTTGGTGAGCCTTTTGGGTGCGTTTTTCATGTTTATATTTGTTTGATCGGTTGATGGTCAGATGAAATAGAGGATATCCTCTCTGTTTTTCACTTTCATGAAATTTTTGGTTGTTTGGTTTGATGGGTTATTGTTTTTCTTTTGGAAGTTTTTCTTTTTATGGGGTTTCCTTTTCTAAATCTGCACGTTCTCTGTGTTTAGACTCTGCAACTCTTCGCTGTTTTCACATGATAAAGGCTCCTCTGTGTCTATTCAGTTTGTTTTTGTCTTTTGTTCTATATGGCAGCGAGGAACGTTGAACCGTATTTGATGTCTGCTTTCATTTTGGTCCACAGTTGGATATGTGCTGTTGGTGGATGCTCATTGTTGTTTGGTTTTGGTTCCCCTTGAATATTTTGATTGCTGACCGAATTTAAGATGATGTTTATACTTTTATGATGCATAGAGATGTCTGAGTTTCGTGTGTGGATTAGAATGTTAGATTACTTCACGTTAGGATTGATTACTCGACTTAGCAGTTAGTCGGGGACGGGTCCAAGATTTTATGTTAGGGGCACATTTGGTCGTCTTTGTTGATGATATGCTTTACTGAATTAGTGTCTTTATTGATATAGTTACATTGTCTCTATGCTACTGGTTCCTACTAATCACTGCATTTGCTTAGAAATTCTGGTTGCTGTCGTGCTTCTGCAGCGTTGTTGTTATCTTATTATTACTATTGGATATTAGATTTTTGATGCAGCTGCTTTTCTTTTGTTCTGTAATTTTATATATCCTAGTATTTTTGTCTAGAATCATTTAAATGCCAATGCTTCTCTTTTGCTATGTTGTGCCGATTGGTTACTTACACTTTGTATTGGAATATTCTTCAGTATTTCGTTATAGTTGTACCGAAATTCATCGAGTCATAATGCAAGGGCAAAGGGGTACTATTGGTTCCTTTTCTGAAACATTCTATGATCATAGCTCTACGTCAAATAATGCTGCTATTGAACAGCAGGTTTTCTGGAATAATATGCAAAATCCTATGGAAAACAGATTGCCTAATTGTTTGCTGTCATCTAATGATATGAACATTGGATATGTGAACCCTATTGGTCGAGAAGAGGAGCTGGGTAGATGGAGCTTGGGAGAGCCTAGCTCTAGTGGCACACTAAATGAGGGCAGTTATAATTATAATGAGCGGAAAACAGATCATGGATGGTCATTGTCTATGTGTGCTTCTGCAAATGCTGGTCCGAGGTTAGAAGGGCAGAGGTATGAACAGAGCTCTCTTTTTACCCAAAGTTCCAATTCTGATACTGTTCCCCAGAATCAGAGGTTAAATGCTGGATTAGTTGGTCATGGTGATAATAACTGTCAAGTTACAGAACGGTCTAACATGTATAAGCCTAGTGGATCCGAAAATGAGCAGGGTTCTCTGGGTGCTGGTCCTGAAGCATTTCTACTTTCTGCTGGAAGTTCTGGGTATATTGTGGATGATAGTGATAGCAGACCTGGTTGCTCATATGAGGGTCGTCGTGCATCATGCAAAAGAAAGGCTCTGGAAGGAAATGTTGGGCAGCCCTCTTCGAGTGGAAGTTCTGGCTACTATCATAGTGCAGAAACTAGTGCATAGAATGGAGTTGCTGCTAGCTATACTGCAGGAAACAATGTGAATATATCTCCCCCCTCAAGACAGGCGCATCCTAGACTTGGATTAGACATCAGAGGATCAGCATCTGACAGCATTCCTGAACGAATTGTTTTACCACCAGCTGCAGAGAGCTCACACAGGAATTTCCGGCTGAGAATAAGTTCTAGCATACAAGAACCTATTACTCATCCTCTATTTTCTACAGGTGATATAGTCCGACAGTCTGTTGTTTCGCCTGTACCGCAGTCATCAAGACTTCTTCCAACTGATCATTCTCTGGACTTAAGTTCAGCACGAGTGATACCTAATGCAAGTTCTGAAAACCCGAATGTTGTAACTAATGTCCCAACTAATGGAGGTTCTGGCATCAGAACTGGGAGTTCATCAAATTCTAATCTATCTGCTGATAGAGATGTTGTACCACGAGCAAGACATCAATCAAGAAGTGCCAGAAACCTATTAGATCATCGGATGTTGGTTCCTGCACCAGAACTAAGAACATTGGTTAGAAATCCTGGTTTAAGCAGTGGAAGTATAAGTGCTCCTGGAAATGTTGCTTCTGCTTCCCGTGCTGGTTCAAATTCTGGTGTCAATGCAACGCCCGCATCTACTTGGGTTCCTCATCCCAATTCCTCTTCGCAATACCCACGAAGGTTGTCAGAACTTGTTCGTCAATCGTTAATGTCTTCCCTTGACATTGAATCTGGAGGTCAGAGCAATCATTCCTCACTTCCTTCAGGACCTACTGCTTCTCCTGAAGAGATGATGCTTTCCTCTCGAGTAAGTAATCAGGCTCGCCATCGTTCACATCCTAGGTCATTTCCATGGTTGGAGAGACAAGATGCTGGTTTAGTTGGAATTCCGCACTCATTGCGAACTTTAGCTTTCGCCGCTGAAGGAAGAAGCAGGCTTGTTGCATCTGAGGTCTGCCTTTGAACTCCATCCTTTCTGATTGTTATATTTTCTGTTTCCCTTCAAATTCAAACGATAACAAAGTACAATCTCGGTTCCCTTAACACTGCTACCTGATTTGCTGTTAGTCTAATTATCCTGGTATATATAAAGGAAACTCCTTGTTTGATAGAGCAATGCTATAACATGTTGCTGTTTTCCCTTAAATGCATTTGTCTGAAAGGCATGGCTTTGGGCATTGTTATCCAAAATTTTTTGCACTTTATTCGATCTGACATTTTGTTTATGGGGCAGATTCGCAATGTCTTGGATCTCATGCGTAGGGGGCAGAACTTGCAGTTTGAGGTCAGGATTTTATTTATGACGGTGTAATTTGATGCAGTTCTATCTTCACCAACTGAAAAACAGAAGCATGAAAAAAAACACCTTTTCTTTTGTCGTTCATTGTTTTGAAAATGTGAGAAATTGAAATAATTACTGAGTTTACTTGAGATAAATTTCACCAAGATAACTGTCTCCTGATAACTCTCAAAATAATAATAATAATAATTTGACTCGTAACGATAATAAAACCGATGTCTTCTAAATAAATAATAATATTTTCTTTTACCTGAAGTAATTAATGTAACAAGTGGCCATTCTGCTATGGACTTAAGAGTGACCATGCCAATTTGTACCTTCTTCCCCAAGCAAGTGACATTTTTCTCTTCTGATTCTGCTTGTCTGCAGGATGTTATGATCCTTGATCAATCAGTACTTTTAGGGGTAGCTGATATTCATGATCGGCACAGGGATATGCGGCTCGATGTTGATAACATGTCATATGAGGTAGTATCTATATTCTTTGAATCCTTTTATCCTTTCTGTGCTTGAAAATTCTCACAGTTGAATTGCTTTATGGGTAATAGGAGTTATTGGCTCTGGAAGAACGCATTGGTAACGTAAGCACCGGGTTGAGTGAAGAAACTATATTAAACCGTCTCAAACGACGGAAGAACTCTAGTGCATCAGGTGCTCAGTTAGAGGCAGAACCGTGTTGTGTGTGTCAGGTAATGGATTTTCTCATCTGCACTTTTTTTAACTGATTTTATGAACCCTGAAAACAATTGTTTACCGACTTGCAGGAAGAATATAATGATGGAGAAGATATTGGGACACTGGAATGTGGCCATGACTTCCATGCGGATTGCATTAAACAATGGCTGATGCACAAAAATTTGTGCCCCATTTGTAAGACAACAGGTCTGACTAAATGAGACGACCGGTTGTTTTCAGGCAATTAGTTCTTCCTTAGGTCAGAGAAAAGGCCCGGCATTGAATATGTGAGGCTTGGCTTCTGCAATTCATTGAAACTAGATGCCTTCAAGTGTGTCATATGCAGCCAACGGATTTCATTCGTAGATAATCAATTCATGGTGACTTCGGCAATAATTTTTACTTAAGGTTATGTCAAACAAGGCTATCTTTCTGGGTGGATGACACATGTCTGAAGCACTGAGAACAGAAAAACTTAGTTTCAACATTTTTCATCTTCTAATAATTTTATGTATTCAATATCTTTACATTTTCATGTCTTTTTTTTTCTCAGATCATAACTTTACTAAGAAATTTCTCTATAACCATTATTATGTTGATTAAAGTTTTCAAACTATCAAATACCGGATTCGAAAGTCAGGAAATCAGGGCCACTATAGGACTTGAGACGGTCCGCTTGTGTTGATCAATCCACTTGAGATAACCGTATGTTGGCTCTGGACGAGCATTTCCATCAATCTCTACACTCACAACGAAACTTTGCTTTTGATATTTCTTCGTGAACATCAGTGTGCTTGGTTCAACAATGATTCTCAACCATTTGGAGTTTCCCACCACAGCCTGGAAAACTGATTGATCATCCCCCACGTTAGTAACCACCCTGGAAAAGTTCTTTACTCTTGGAGAGTTGGGTTCTTTATACACCGCGGAAAACGACGGGTAGTTCAGGTCGGTCTCGTTTCGGGTGCAGTTCCATTGATTTCGTCTAAGAACAGCTCTCATCTCCGTGTCGTTATAGCCTAGGCCGCACAGGAAATTGATGTAATCTTGTGTGTCCATGTCGTAAATGAGTCCGGAATCCAATGCTTTGTTGGGGTTGATATGACCAGCACCGTAATCTAGAGGTGTCGCAGAACCAACATATAATTGATTTATCATAGTAGTTCCATTGTTGTTGATGGTATAGGCAGTGGTCATCAAAGCTGATCGGATGGCTGCTGGACTCCAGTTAGGGCTCGCTGTTTTTAGCAAAGCTGCCACACCAGCAACATGTGGGGTTGACATTGATGTGCCTGAGTCGAATGCATAATCTGTCGCCAAAGCATAGTCACCGGTTCTTATTTTCGGAAATGGTGGAACTGCAGCAAGCACGTCGACACCGGGAGCAATGACATCTGGTTTTAAAATACCAGGGCTTATCGGATTTGGTCCTCTTGAAGAGAAATAAGCCACTTCTGGTGCAGGTTTTGTACCTAAACTTGTGAGCAGAAATCTCATGGACATCACTTCCGGTTTAGGTTCACCTTTAACATACTCTCGAACCAAATTTCCAGAAGAAAGAGGTAGAACCAGGATGGGAAGTGTAAGGTCATCTAAAGTACCGAAAGGGATTTTGTCTGCCACGACTATAGCCGCAAGTGCACCGATCCTGTAAAGCTCAGATATTTGCTCGTCAATTATGGTAATTCCAGCATAATCGCAGAAGACTACCTTTCCACTGGTTTCATTCTTGTTTAATGATTCTAACTGGCATATTCTTTTCTTTGAGTCACGTATACCGTGGTAGAAAGATACATTTGTTATTAGGACACTCTCTGGAAATGTTGATCTGCCTTCAAAAGTCAGTCCATTTCCTAGAGTTACTGTTCCAATGAAACTTCGATCGAGTGTACCAGCACCAACCGTCGTAATCCATGGCGCTGCATTCAGTGTAGAATTATATGCACCATCATTACCAGCAGCACAGACAACAACAATACCTTTCTCATAGGCTGACAGAGAACCTATCGCAATGACATCTCTGAAATATGGACTTTGCTCAAAACCTAGAGACAGCGACATGATATCGATGCCGTCTGCAATTGCTTGGTCCATGGCAGCAAGAACATCACTTTCAGAAACTTCTTCTGTGTTTGAGACCTTGTACATGGCAAGATGTGCACGAGGTGCCATTCCACTAGCTATGCCGCTTGCATATCCGAATTGACTTGCACCGGCTACATGGTTACCCCTAGCTGTAGACAATGTGTGTGTTCCATGTCCGATGTGATCTCTGGGCGAATCGTCTGTTTGGTCCGAGTTGTTCACTTGGATTGCTTTAATAAATGTACGAGCGCCAATAAGCTTTCTGTTGCAAGGAAAAGGGCTAGCCGTACTATTCTCACACTTCCCCTTCCATCTATGAGGGATTGGTGGCATGAACCTATCGCAATGACATCTCTGAAATATGGACTTTGCTCAAAACCTAGAGACAGCGACATGATATCGATGCCGTCTGCAATTGCTTGGTCCATGGCAGCAAGAACATCACTTTCAGCAACTTCTTCTGTGTTTGAGACCTTGTACATGGCAAGATGTGCACGAGGTGCCATTCCACTAGCTATGCCGCTTGCATATTCGAATTGACTTGCACCGGCTACATGGTTACCCCCAGCTGTAGACAATGTGTGTGTTCCATGTCCGATGTTGATCTCTGGGCGAATCGTCTGTTTGGTCCGAGTTGTTCACTTGGATTGCTTTAATAAATGTACGAGCGCCAATAAGCTTTCTGTTGCAAGGAAAAGGGCTAGCCGTACTATTCTCACACTTCCCCTTCCATCTATGAGGGATTGGTGGCATCCCTTTGTCATTGAAGCTCGCACTCTCCGGCCAAACGCCTGAATCAATAAGACCTATGATCATACCTTCACCGTACGACGAAGCCAACCATAAACCAGAAGAATGTCTTAACCCGAGAAACTTTGGAGAGTGCGTCGTCAGCAGCTTACCAAAGGACTCCTCATGTATGGCAACATGAGCTGGAGACTTCTTGATTTCAGATACCTGTGATGGCGTGAGCATGGCACTGAATCCATGCATAACATTCTTGTATGAATACAACAAGTGGTCTTGTTTATCAGCAGATTCCGACACCGAGTGCAGCGTCGATCGATGCCACGATTCATGGGTCAAGAAAGAAGGTTTCTGAGAATGATCCATATGGATTATGTACGTCTTGTATTCTTCAGGCTTCGCATTGGCAACCAGCAACAATAATAGTAACCATGAAAGAACACTCAGTGAGCATCTACTGAAACTCATCGATGTATGCATGGGGTTGAACAGAAAGCAGGAAGATTTGAAGTTTACGATTATATTTCCCGAATTTATAGATGTTTAAATTGACCCCTTTGCTCTTAACACTCTTCCATTTGTCTATTCTTCAGTTTATTCAAGAACGTTAATTTCAATGCGTTTTCTTATTCAGTCTTCATCCCAGTTTCGTCAGCTTGCATCTGTCAAGTATCTCAAATGCTGACTACAATATTGTCATTGCGGGTGTTTTATATGCCAATGGATTCAAAAATAAATGTCACAATAATCTGGTCCCTTGTTACCCTGATGCCGGCCAAATACGGTTGGCTTTATAAATATACTCTTTATAATACAATCTGCCTTCTCTTAGAGGATCCAACGTAAGAGGTTATGTACTTATGTCAGTGTAAATTTAAAAGTTATATAAAAAAATTAAAGATTTTGAAATTATAATTTTTTGAAAATAATCGTGTATCGATATTTGGCTTATAATATTAATACCGTATTACATGTCTCGATATGCAAGACTAGGTATTAATACCTTCTATTAGTTCTATAAATTTTTGACTGACAGATGATGCATAATATCGATATTTGGAGTTTTGGTATCTATACTCTACGGATTCAATGGAAAAAAAAGGATTTTAAATGCTTTTAATTATGAGTTCTTGATACTTAAATCAAATGGAACCGCATAAAGCATGTCTAAAACATTAGGTATGACAGGAAAACTAACGCGGAACATGTGATCGTTCATCGTCCATACGTAACCGAATCTCAAACTTAATTATGATTTCATTATTGACACAAACTAAATTTTAAGGGTGTTTGATCGTATCCAACCATAATGATCGACGAAGACTTCAACCACGTAATAAGCTCTTCAAAGATTCAACGTATTCAAGCCATCACAAAATGTTTTCGACAGTTTTATGATCATCCTTTTCAAGATGTAAAATATAATATTTGAATTAATCATAACTAAGGATGAACATATGATTTTATGCTATAACGACGAACTTATACAACTTTCGGAGAAGAAAATAAATTATCAATTGTCACACCCCGATCTTGGGGTTAAAAGTTTTGAGTATAATTTCATTAAATTAGTGAAATTTAAGCCCAAAAGGTTCTGATTAGTTTTAATACAAAGTTTAAGGATCCAATTGAATGGAAATTTAAGACAATGAGGATTGTTTTGAACATGAAATAAACTCGGAGGCCATAATGTGAACCATAGAAATTGTAGGGACGCGCCTTATGTTTACCACCATTACCGTTACTGTTATCATTTCTGTTTCTATTGCGATGTTGTCGCTGCCACTATAGTTATCGTTTCTTTCTCTGTTACTGTTGTCGGTGTTGATGCCACCATTATCGTTACCATTGTTACTTTTGCTACTGTCGTTTCTATTGTCAGTGTTACCATCGTCGGTGAGTCTAGTTGTCTAAGTATAAAACCATAAACCCAATAGCTTTACCCAAGCCCAATATTCAATAACTTGGACATGTTTGTGTGGGTTGTTGCTGTTTAAGTTTCAAGAGACTGTCAAGCCAAACTTATTGCGACTCAGTTGGACCGTGACCTTGACTCAGTTGACTCGTTTGATTTGGTTGACTTGAATCGAACTGCTCTGACATGTTGATCCGAACCGATCCCACCTAACCTGACCATTTGACCGTTGACTATTGATCGTTGACTTTTTCGTTGATCGAATGACTTTTTTTTAAAACCCCTATCTTAACGTTTTTCGATGTTCTGAATCTGTTTAGTTAAATTCTGACACGAAAGTCATGCTTTGTGTCTTTAAGTACTTAAGTATATTATAGAATATGTGGTGTCACTCTTCGATATTATATTATGAAAGTGATCACATGTCTCCGTATCGCACTTCAATAGGTCTGAATCACCTATATTCAGCTCAGCTCGACTCTGCACGTTCGATTCAGGATATACGTGAGTGTTATTAATTGAATTAGTAGTTAATTCTGTTTAATTATGTATTACTTCAGCTCTTTTACATTAATATATTATCATTAGGTTTCCATTCCGTGGGACCTAGTACCATCATCGTGAGAAGCGTAAAACTTAGCCAGTATAAATTGACTAATAGATGTGTTCCCTTGACCCATATGATGCATTTATTAATTTTATATTGTGTAATGCTATTTGTACACATGTTAGTATATTGATTATGTTGGTCTCGGATATGTCTGATTGTTGATTGGAATTGAATCACTTTTTATTCGTGTATTGATATATTTCTGCCATCTGCATGGGATCCTCTACGGAGGAAAAAAATCATCGTCCTGATTCTGCATGAGATCCTCTACGTAGGAAAAAATCCCGTTCTGATTCTGTATGAGATCCTCTATGGAGGGCAAAATCCCGTCCTATTTCTGTTTCGAACCTTTTACAAAGGGCGATACCCTTATTCCGTTTCTGATCGGGATTCTTTACGGAGGGTTACATCTCCATCCTGATTTCTGTATTTTGCTCTAGGTCCATATTCGGAGGTCTCATGTACCTTTCAACAGGTAATGTCTCTATTCTGTTTATTTTCAACAAAAGGTAAGATCGTGAGAGATTCTGTACGATTTCCTGGTGATTAATATATGTTTTATTTTTGCTTAGTTACAGTATTGTTTATTATATCATGCCTGAATCATTTGAATTTTTATTTGTGCTTAGAGGGCACAATGAGCTTTGTAGCTCACCTTGTTTCTGTTTACATTTTCAGATTTTTCAGATGTATAATCGGTTTGGCTATCGGACGAGTAGTCTCGATTTCATATTGTATGAGATTAAATATTTGCTTTCAGTCTCTTTTAACCGTGACATGAGTTTATCTATGATATTACAATTGTTAAATATTTTTAAAATGACTTGTTAAACAAATTTTATCTGTAAACCATTTCTGAGGTCAACGTGGCTATCCTGACTAAGTTGTAACTCTTAGGCCGAGCTTAGGAGGTTACATCAATAGAAAATATATACATATAAAAACTTAAATTATATGAGAATTTAAAATTTTCATAGAACGATGGTCCTGCCAACCTGTCAGTACTCCATTCTTGCCCATAACCCTCCATCTTTAAGTTGAAAACAATTACACTTAAGCATAATCAAACTCAACACTTGAATAGTTGTTGTTTGCTAGTGTTTTAGCTTATCTGAAGGACGATCAAAATTCACAACAGATAAAGATAATTCGACCCATGAACAACTCTCTTGAATTTATCCTTCTTACCTATAATCCCATCTCGTAAAATAAAATTACTTAATACATTGTCTAAACTCAAAGTAAATTAAAACAAGTCCTAATAATAGTCGATGGTAATATTCTTTTACACAGATCATAATCAAATTGAATTCTTATACGAGAAGTCTTGTGAATTTTAAGAGAAAATTTTCATAGTGGAAGGGTAGGCAAACTCCAACTCAGAATAAAATGTGGGTAATTAAGAAATTCTTTCTTCTGAATTTGCTTGCTAAATATGCCTCTAATCCTGGGTTCTTATCCAGATCAGAAATCTCAGGAATATAAACGGGATAGTGTTTTTACCACAATGTATCCCATGGTTTCTATTCAATACAATTTTAAGTTTAATTTTTAAGTACTGTTCTTAAATAGAATATGCAAACGATGCTGCTAAATACATTGAAAAGAAGAAAGAAAAAAAAATTAAACTATATTGGTAGTCCTTAAATATTTGGGATATTTACATTTTGGTCATCGAATTATTACTGACGCTATGTGATACCAGAATTCCCTACCTAAGCAACCAATGCTATGTGACATCGGGTGCCTTGTTTGTGTTATATGTGTTGCGTGAAATTGTGCTTGATGTGTATGAGTTGATAGCCGAGGAATGTGAAACCAACATGTTTATATGAATTTTAATATGTGCTGGGCCGGCTCCGGGCATAGGCAAGGGGGCGACCGCCTATGGCCCCAAGTTTGGAGGGGCCCATTTTTAAAATTATTTTTAAGTTTAATAATTAAAAAATATTTTTAAATATATTTTTTTATTTCAAATATACGAAAATATGGTAATTTAGTGGGCTCAAATAATTAAAAAATATTTTTAAACATATTTTTTATTTAAAAAACTTAAAAATATGGTAATTTAGTGGGCCCCATTTTAATGATGGGAGAAATCTAGGTATGTGCCCCCACTTGTCTTCTTGTCATCACCTTCTGGCCTAAGGCCCTTAAAATGTCAGTACCGGGCCTGAATATGTGAATATTAGTTTATATTAAGCAAATGTGTCGTTGATATCTTTGTATTTCTATATGTATGCCTCTCCGCTTATACTGTCTAGCATACTTATATTTATGAACTGTAAATAGTATAGTAGAGTAGATATGTATCACTGAGTTTTGTCAATTAAACATTTGGATATTTTCATTTGCAAGTCAATAGATTGGATTGTCGATGAGCATCATCACTGTGGGTTTTTAATGCCATTGAATATCAGAGTACAATACCAAACTTTTAGTGGACATATGTATTCATAATAACCTTATTATTATGATTTGGTCTATAAACTCTATTCGAATAATTTTATTTTGTGTTTGTGTTAAATGGTCATAGAGTTCCATTTTATATAAACTATTTGAACTATTTTAAATGTTCAAGTTATGAAATGACTTTACATTTGAAAGAGAATCTTTGAATTTTTGTGATTGTTTCGACAATCCAATGTGATACTTTAGGTCCATCATATGATGATCAAGTTTGGGGTGTTACAACTCTTCTAATATTGGGTGGCGTAGGTGGTTGGCAAAGATCAATAAGTTTGCAAGAGCGATGAACTCGACAGGGCTCTAAAGTTTTTCTCTTAATGTATTTTAGGTTATCTGATTTTGGTAATGTTTGATATCGGAGTGTTTGTAGCATAATGTTTTCCAGCCTTGGATTGTGAGGGTGGAGAAATGGTCAACATCGGTACAAGTTGATTGCATTAGGGCTTGGCTCTCAATGTATGGTGTTCATATTCATATATAGTCTCGAGTGATATTCGAATAATATTATTTTGGTTATTTGTGCTTTAAATTGAAAATGTGAAAAATGTACTATTAAAATCCATACGTTATTACATTTTTCATAAAATGCAAGCCATTTTACATCGACTTGGAAAATAGATTAAAGTTGATCAAATCATTTTACTTCAACCAAACATAAAAAAAAAAAAAATATTTTCTCTAAAAATGAATTATATGAAATAAACATATCCACAATGTCATTTTTAAAAAAATATATTTAAAAAATTCTAAAACTTTTAAAGCAAATAAATTTGTGATCAGTTTATGAAATATAAATTAAAAAATAATCAAAATCTCATATCTTAATCAACCAATAATTTGAATCAATTGTCAATAAAATTAGAGGTAAAATAAAAATTGATTTTATTAAAATAAATTCTAATTTACGTCACGTAGTCTTCAGGATAATCCTAGACAAGTTTTTCTTTCTTTTCTTATTGAAAACTCAACTTAAACGGATCAAATTAAAAATCAACCGCTTTCTTGATTCTTTTATACAATCACTGCTATTCAATTTATTATTCAATTAATTCAGATCAAATACTATATAGATTTAATATAAAGATGACCCTTTCAACCCAATTTTATGATCCACGTACTCGATTAAATTAAACTTTTAGATGTATATTAACTAAAAGTGTGAAAAGGTGTTTTGATTTATTTAACCTAATTAAGTATTTCTAATTTGATGTCTCATATAGTGCTATCTTTTCCTTGTGCTAAACGTCTTTCATACTTGATGGTTATAAATATAAACGTCCCCTTGTCTTGCAAATTCAATATTCACGTTGAGAAAACAAACTGTTTGCAATGTCTAGTGAGGAGAATTCTTTTTACGACGATTGTTTTATTATCCACCCGGATGATCCAAGTTACTTTGATCTTTTCGGCCTGCTGTTTTCCTCTAAATTGGGGCGAAGAAGGTTCATCGACTGTCCACATCAGTCTAATCTGAGTTTTGTCCGTCGATGGATCATCTTCGTCTCGATTCTCCTTCAAAAACTCACCCTTTCCATGAGAATACCTTTAATACTCACCAGGAATGTGCTCGAGATGTCTCTGAATCTTGTTTCATGGAACGGTGGTTTGTTCCGTCTCCCGTTCAGACTCATGACAGGTTTCAGATTTCTTTCATAATCATAATTCTATCATTTCTTAATATTTATCATACCAGTTAAGGCTAGAAATGAGACGAGATAAATTGAAAGTTATTTGGATCCGATTCGATTAAAGATTGGTCAATACACGTATTGATTAGACTCAACTTTGAGTTCTTAACGAGATGTAGCGAGCTAATTATTAATATGTTTTTAAAAATAATATATTATTTTTATTTTTTTAAATTAAATTAAATTATTATTATTATTATTATTATATATATGTATATTTAAAATAAAATATAAGATTTTCATGTACTTATTCATGCTCGAACTCGGGTTTGAGCTTTAATCGAGCTGAATCTAGGGGTGTAAACGAGCCGAGTCGAGCTCGAGTATTGCTCGAAAACTCTGAAATGGAGCTCGACTCGACTCGACTCGAAAACTTGCGAGCTTAAAATTTTCTAGCTCGACTCGAACTCAAAATCCTGAACTAAAACTTGTGAGCAGCTCGAAAAGACTCGAAATGAAAAAATTTCTTAAACTTAACTCGATTGAAGCCTCAAACTCAAACTCGAATATAAACCTTAAATACATGAAATTTAAATATATGAAATCTTACTGTAATTTTTTTTAAAAAATCAATACATAAAATATTAATATTATTATTAATTTATTTTTTTAAAATAAAATATTAATATATTATATTTTCGAGCTGCTCACGAGCTTTTCGAGTCGAATATCGAGTAGCTCGTTTTAGCTCGTTAAGAACTCGAGTCGAGTCCATTCGATCCGAGCATTTATTGAGCCTTGACTTGATCGAGTCGATCTCGAATAGCTCGCGATCTGTCTCGTCTCATTTACAGCCCTAGCTGAATCTGAGAATGTTTCGAGTTCAAGTTTTTTTTGAGCTCGAGACGAACTTCAATTTTTGATTTCGATTCGAGATTGACAATTTTAAGTTTGCAAGATTTTGAGTGGACTCGAGCTCAATTTTAAATTTTTCGAGTGGAGTCGAACTCAGTAAAGGTGTTCATTTTTTTAACTGGATTAACCAACCGAATCAAATTAGTTTAGGTAATTCGGTTGGCCTTCCGAATTAGTTTGGTCTGGGAACGATTATTTTTTTGAATATTCAGTTAAAGGTTAATTCAGTTCGAAATCAGTTAAATAACCAATTTAACTTAAAATATTAAATATTATATTATATATATTGAATACATATTTTAAATTCAAATCTATTGAGAATTAAGACCAAATTATTTTTTAACCACACTAGACTCATTAAATTATCAAGACATAATTAAATTTTAACTCAAATAAAAAATTAACCGATCGGATTAACAGGACTTTATTCGATTCGGTTAATATTTTTTAAAAAAATCAGTTCGATTAACGGTTAAAAAAAATTTAATTAATTTGATTAATGAAAATTCAGTTCGATCAGTGACCAAATTAACCGAATAAATTCCCCTAACTTACAGCCCCAAAACCGGTATTAGTTTGCATGAAAAATAGAATGTTTTATGACTAAAAAGGTATAACGTACAAGAAGCAGAGATGACGTTTAATGGTGCAGGGAAATTAGAGTGGCCGCACAAGTCATCGGCGAAGTTCAGATCGTTGATGGCATTTATCGACCCTCGCGTTGAATTAGACGACAAAATTAAGCCTGGTGACGCCAAATATAAAGCGTCGCTGTGTATGATGTCTGCCAAATTTTCATATGAGAATGAAGCTTACATTAAAACCAATATCATGGAGCACTGGAAGGTATTTTCTTTTAATATTTGCATTTCATCAACTATTTCTTTCAGATTTAGTTTTTTTAAAGAAAGATTAATGGAAATTTTAATATATATATATATATATATATATATATATAAAAGTGTTTTAACTATATACAAAATTAATTTTAGATGTATAAAGATTTTTTTGTTAAAAGTAGATACATAACGTTTAAAAAATTATATTTTTAAGTGTCTATATTGTAACAGCCGTTAAAAAAACTGTTAAGTGACACGTATCGTACTTTTATTTTAATTTAAAAATTATTATTATTTAAAAAATCTCATTTTTTAAATTTACAAAAATACCCCAAAATTCCTAAATTCTAAATACTCAAACCCTAAAATCTAATCTTTCTCGCCGTCGATCACCACCAACGTCGTTAGTGCCGGTCGAAACTACCACGTTGTTGACCAGCCGAAGAACGATGATGCACAATGAGTGAAAAACGAATGGTCGAAACCCCAAGCTATCATTAGGGTTCGTCCATTGGTCGTCGGGGATCGTATGTCTGGAAGGGAGGGGGACGAGAAAGAGGTGGGGAGATGAGAGGGAGAGAAAGCAGGGGGCGGACAGGAGGGAAGGGATGGCGGAGGGGTGGGGGGATTTTTTATTTAAAAAAAAAATATGCATTGCCATTGAACCTTTTACTTTCCTAAATTAAAGAAAAAAAATAACAATTTAACGTTGTTTTGCAGATGAAATTCTACGAGTTCTGGAACGGTATGTAAGATGCAAGCTTCTGCTTAAACTCCACATGCCAGTTAATAGGACATAAAAAACCCATTGTTTTCTTTCGGTTCAATTTCCGTTCCATTTTGCCAAGATTTATATAGGATTCCATTTTCTTCTTCACTATTGCTTCATTTTAAGTCCTAGTTCGGTCATCCTTTTTAACAGATTTCGAAGATCATATCACAACCGAAGTCTTTATGATGCAAGACACATTGTCTAACCCAAACTTGATCGTGGTTGCATTCCGAGGCACCGAACCTTTGCAGCTGTTGTGGAATTCGGGTTAATTTCCACCAATAACAGATTCACCTTCGAAACTATTATCTAGGTTACTAGTGTCAAAACGATTGTACTAAAAATCACCCCAAGGTATATTCCCAGGAAAAAGGAAGGGTCACAATGGTCCCTCTTAAAACTCACTTTCCTTAGACAGAACTACCAAGACAAGTAATTTTAATAGGACAATAATTAACAACAACTATACCCGACAATAGCTATTAAATAGACATAAAAGAGAACACCAAAATATTTTACTAATAGAGAAAATATTACAAAGAGAGAAAGAATACAAATAGCCTTTAATATAGAAGAAGGCTTATATTTGTAGTATAATTAACTAAGGAGGAGGATGACTTTATTTATAACAAAAGAATTTCCCCTCCTCCTTATACACAACCAATGTGGAACTTTGCCAAAAACCAACAAATCTCCACCTTGGCAAATTCCACACACATCTCTAAAAAAACAATCTTTTAATTTGTAACAATATTGACCAAGTCTAAACAATGTTTAAACTTGACCGCAGTTACCACTTTTGTCAACATATCGGCAGGATTCTCAGTGGTCCGAATCTTCTGGATTATGACTCCACCTTCTTCTAGAATCTCTCGTACAAAGTGATATCGAACATCGATGTGCTTCATCCTTGCATGGTAAACCTGGTTCTTTGCTAAATGAATAGCACTCTGACTGTCACAGTGCACTTTGATGTGTTTTTGTTCCATTCCCAATTCACCAAGCAACCCTTGAAGCCAAATTGCCTCCTTCACAGCCTTTGTAACTGCCATATACTCTGCCTCTGTAGTAGACAAAGCCACTGTTGACTGTAAGGTGGACTTCCAACTGACTGGTGCCTTTGCAAATGTAAACACATAACCAGTAGTTGATCGACGCTTGTCCAAATCACCTGCTTAGTCTGAATCACAATACCCAACTATACACTGACCGTCTTGTTTGTCCTGCTGAAAGACCAAACCAACATCTACGGTGTTCAGAATATACCGCAGAATCCATTTCACAGCTTGCCAATGCTCCTTTCTAGGATCATGTATATACCTGCTCACAACCCCAAATGCCTGTGAAATATCGGGTCTCGTACACACCATTGCATACATCAAGCTACCAACAGCACTTGCATACGGAACCTTTGACATGTATTCCCGTTCTGCATCATCCTTAGGTGACATTGATGCACCGAGCTTGAAATGAGGAGCAAGAGGTGTACTAATTGGTTTTGACATCTCATTTATGCCAAAACGTTTTAGTACCTTCCTCAGATATTCTTTCTGAGACAAACAAAGGCTCCCCAATTTCTTATCCCTTGATATCTCCATGCCTAGAATCTTCTTCGCTTCACCAAGATCCTTCATCTCAAACTCCTTGTTCAATTGAGTCTTTAGTTTCGCAATTTCTGTCTGACTCCTGGAAGCTATCAACATATCATCAACATAAAGAAGAAGATATATATAGGATCCGTCTTCTAGCTCGCGTAAATACACACAATGATCATATTTGCTTCTTGTGTACTTATGTTCTATCATAAACTTGTCAAATCGCTTGTACCACTGCCTTGGAGATTGCTTCAATCCGTACAACGATTTTTCTAATTTGCACACCATCTCTTCTTTTTCAGCAACTTTGAATCCATCTGGCTGAGTCATGTAGATTTCCTCATCCAAGTCTCCATGTAAAAATGCAGTTTTTACATCCATCTGAACTAGTTCCAAATCCAACTGCGCTACCAAAGCCAACAAAATTCTGATGGATGAATGTTTTACAACTGGAGAAAATACTTCATTATAATCAACTCCTTCCGTTTGAGTGTAGCCTTTAGCCACCAATCTTGCTTTGTAGCGGATATTATTCTTGTCAGGAAATCCATCTTTCTTTGCATATACCCACTTGCACCCAATTGCCTTCTTTCCCTTCGGAAGACTAGCTAGTTTCCACGTCTAATTCTTTTGAAGGGATTGCATTTCTTCATTCATGGCGATCCTCCACTTTTTATGTTCTGAACTTTGAACTGCTTCATTAAAAGTGGCAGGAACGTCATCAATTGCAATTGGTGATGCAAAAGAGACCATATCAACATAACGAGCAGGTTGTCTAATGGTCCTCTTTCCCTTTCTGAGTGCAATTGATTCATGTTGCTGTGGAGGTTCTTGGGTCTGAACCTCTTCTTCATCTGACTCTTCTTCTACCATAGGATAGTCAACATCAGTTTCTTTACTGGTTGGGACAATTTTGCTTCCTTCAAACTCCACCTGTTTGGTAGTTCCATCTGTCTGGTCCAATTTTTCTGAAGTCACCTTTCTCAATATGGTAGATTCATCAAAGGTAACATCCCTGCTGAAGATTATTTTCTTTGTTTCTGGACACCAAAGACGATAGCCTTTCACACCAGAGGTGATCCCCATAAAGATCGCCTTCTTTGCTCTTGGATCCAGCTTTGACTCCTTAACGTGGTAGTATGCAGTGGAACCAAACACATGTAAGGAATCATAATCTGTAGCAGGTACTCCAAACCATTTCTCTAATGGTGTTTTACCACCAATAACAGTCGATGGTAAGCGGTTGACAAGGTGACAAGCATAGACCAAAGCCTCAGCCCAAAATTCTTTGCCTAACCCAGCATTAGACAACATACACCGAACCTTCTCCACTAATGTCCGGTTCATACGCTCTGCCACCCCATTCTGTTGTGGTGTACCTCTGACAGTGAAGTGCCTGACAATACATTCCTCTTCACAGACTTTCAAAAATGGATCATTTTTGTACTCTACACCATTGTATGTACGGAGACGTTTGATTTTTTTGCCTGTTTGAGTCTCCATCATCTTTTTCCATTTAAGGAAAAATCCTAGCACCTCATCCTTTGTCTTCATTGGATACACCCAAACTCTCCGGGAAAAATCATCAACAAAGGTGACATAATAGTGTGTTCCTCCTAATGAAGTTGTCTTGGAAGGCCCCCATACATCTGAATGAACATAATCCAAAATACATTTAGTATCATGGATTGTTGTTCCAAATTTCACCATCGTCTTCTTCCCTTTGATGTAATGCTCACAAAAAGCTAATTTGCAAGTCCGAGCACCCTTCAATAATCCTTGATCTATGAGTAATTTCAAGGATTTTTCACCAACATGCCCCAAACGCATATGCTATAACCAGATTGCTTCTGACTCATGTTCATCAGTAGAAACTGTCACTGCTGCTCCCCCAACAATTGTACTACCCAGAAAGTAATACACATTGTTTCTTTTTCGGATTCCCTTCATTATCACCAGTGCACCAGAGATAATCCTCATAATCCCATCATTTTCCCTCACTTCTAAACCTTTTGACTCTAAGGTTCCCACAGAGATGAGATTTCTCATTAAATCTGGTACATAATGGACACCTGTTAAGTTTCTGATTGATCCATCCTGATTCCTCAAGCGAATTGAACCAATCCCAAGTGTGTCAAGAGGAGAATTATTTGTTGTGTAGACAATTCCACCTTTTAGTTCTTTAAAATCAAAGAATCATTCTCTATTGGGGGGTCATATGGTGGCTACAAGCTGAATCTAACAACCATGAACTGGAACAGCTGGTTGATGGCGTAGCAGCGAATGCGAAATTTGAATCTGCATCATCATACTCGACCACATTTGATTCTGAGACAGCCTTCCCCCTTTCAGGTTTGCCTTTATTCTTTAGCCTGGGACATTCTTTCTTCCAGTGCCCATTTTCTCGAAAAAAGGCACATTCATCTTTGCTCAATCTGGACTTTGACTTCGATCTCTCTCTGCTTCCTTTATTCTGACTCTTCGAACGGCCTATAACAACAAGAGCTTCTGCTTCGACACTTTTGTTTTCTTGTTTGTATTTCTTTCTCAATTCATAACTATACAAGGCAGCAGTTACTTCACTGAGAGACACATCAACCTTCCCATGAAGTAGGGTAGTTTGAAGATACGCAAACTCATCAGGAAGTGATCCCATCAACATCAGAGCCAGATCTTCGTCTTCAAAAGTCACGCCCATATTCATCAGATCAGTCACCAGCTGATTAAAGCTAGTAATGTGATCATTCATAGTGGTACCTGGTACATAGTTGAAGCGGAACAATCTCTTTTTCATGTAGAGTTTGTTCTGACCGCTTTTCTTCAAAAATTTCTCCTCCAGTGCCTTCCACAATTTACTTGCAGAAGTTTCCTTAGAAAATGCATACTTCTGCTCTCTAGAAAGACACGATCGAATAATACCACATGTCATTCTATTGATCCTCTTCCATTTTTTCTCCTCAACGTCATCTGGTTTCTCTCCTTCAATAGCAATGTCTAGACCCTGCTGAAATAGGGCATCTAGAACCTCACTTTGCCACATGCTGAAATGACCGGTGCTATCAAAAATCTCCATTGCAAATCTAACATTTGTCACAGCATTTCTTGCCAAAATTGAAGCTGAAGAAGCATCTGCCATTTCTGCTACAAATTCTATTTAATAGCTGCCAATGCAGAATGTCAATTATCCCAAGGAAATTTTTTCTGATGTGAAAGATCAGCCTAAGCCGCAACCACAGAACATACTAAAATAAACCAAGAGCGCTGATACCAATTGTTGTGGAATTCGGGTTAATTTCCACCAATAACAGATTCACCTTCGAAACTATTATCTAGGTGACTAGTGTGAAAACGATTGTACTAAAAATCACCCCAAAGTATATTCCCAGGAAAGAGGAGGGGTCACAATGATCCCTCTTAAAACCCACTTTCCTTAGACAGAACTACCAAGACAAGTAATTTTAATAGGACAATAATTAACAACAACTATACCCGACAATATCTATTAAATAGACATAAAAGATAACACCAAAATATTTCACTAATAGAGGAAATATTACAAAGAGAGAAAGCATACAAATAACCTTTAATATAGAAGAAGGGTTATATTTTTGGGATAATTAACTAAGGAGGAGGATGGCTTTATTTATAACAAAAGAATTTCCCCTCCTCCTTATACACAACCAATGTGGGACTTTGCCAAAAACCAACAGCAGCCCCATGACTTACGGGCGAACTTGGATCTATCTTGGTATAAGCTTAAACATATGGCTAAGGGCAAGATCCATAGTGGTTTCATCAAAGCTCTAGGCTTGCAAAAGAACAATGGTTTCCCCAAAGAGCTCCGACAACCCACCGACGACCGCCGTGACTTCACTTACTACACTCGCCGACGGAAGCTGAGGCAGGTTTTGCATGAGAATCGAGAAGCCAGGTTCATATTGACAGGGCATAGATTGGGTGGGGCATTGGCAATATTGTTTGCTGCTCTGCTGATGTTGCACGAGGAGGCATGGTTGTTGGAGAAATTGGAAGCGGTTTACACCTTTGGGCAGCCCAGGATTATGAAGAAGTAAGATATAGATATGTGAAGATAGATTATGGGTTGGGAGGAGATGTTAACCAGTACCTATAGCATATTTATAGATCAATATGTAACTAATGCTGTATTTTCTATTGAATTCAATTATAGTACCATTTTAAATGCTTTGAATCTACTTGCGAGAAAATATGGAAAAGAAAGATGAATGATACTTGTTCCATGATTATGACAACCAGTAAATGATGGTTGAGGCATTAGAATGCATGGCAGGTGAAGCAACCACTCAATGAGCCCATCTGGCGGGTTCTGCGCATTGATAAACCTTATGAGAGGCCTTTGTTACTTGATTGGCCTGGTTGGCTAACATTAAGCTTCTCATTTTAAGTTTTAGATCAGATGATGAGTTTATGATTCATCTAATCCTGGAGTTATACAACAGTATACGTACCTTGAGAAGACGACGATTGTGTATTGACTACCTCAGAGCATCCATGCAAGGCTCAGTCCGAACAGCAAATCCTCCACCATGACTACGAGAATGAGTTGACAAACCATCAGCTGCAATTACACCTAGGGATGTACATGGGTCCAGTTGGGGCAGATTTCCGATCGACCCGACCCGACTCAAAAATTATACACTCTCCATCCGATCCGAACTCAACCCGAAAAATGTATGCCTTTCATCTAACTTGAATCCGACTCGTCTTTTTGAGATAAAATTCAAACCGACCGAAATAATATATTTATAAAAAATATTTTTATTTAATAAAAATTAGGAATTTAATTGAAAAAAATAATATATAGAGGGATATTATTGTAATTATCCCTAAATATATGAGGTAAAATTATATCTTTTTGGGTCGGGTCGGATATTTTTCACTCTAAATCCGAACCGACCCGACCCAAACATAATGTCTAAAAAAACTCGACCCGAATGCGATTTCTTTTAAAAATCCGACTCGATTTGTACCATTCAACCCAACCCGACATCTTTCTAAGTTCTAATTATGAGTTTTGAGAGAATAGTAGTACCATTAAAATTCATTTAATTTTTCGGGTGTACGAAATTTAGAGATTCGTGATCATTCATCCATTGTATCGATTACACACATCGAGATGAATTCGCTTCTAAAATAGTGGATTACCACAACACGATTATCGTTTCATTTAATTATTTTATTTAGTATTTCTCAGTGTTAATGCCTCATTTTAATTCAGTCTATTTACGAACACACTGGACTAGGAAATGAACCCGGATTCCGTGTTGCATCCGAGCTTTTCTTCATAGCCCCCAACCGTGGAGACGAAGCTGAGACATTATTTAGGATATACTAATAAAATATTAGTCAAATTAGTCACAAGAAATCTCAGTTTTGTTTCCATGAATGATCAACAAAAAAAAAATTGTTGGACTTGAATGAATGACGAATTACTGCATGTGTGAAACAGATAAAGAAAAAGGAAAATCCATTGACCAACTCTAACCAAATGCAGAAAAAAAAGGATTACTTCACTTAACAACAACCGGCAAGGGGAGACCTGGCATGATCTCAAATATACAGATAGTGTAAACCGAGATAGCATTAATTCAACAATTCTAATATAAAGAAATCAACTCCTACCCTATGACTCTGCTAACAAAGATAGCACTATGTTTTCACTTTACCATGAACCGGTCAGTGTTTTTCGCAAGCATCGGCTCTTCGATCCTTGTTGCTTTTTCATCATTTCCATCACCTGTGGTTCCACCAAATAACTCCTGAGAACTGAACCAAGTGCCTCGAATCTAAATAACCAAGCAACCAATTTAGAGATTTATAAAATATAAACAGAAATGGCTCGGTACCTGATTTTTCTTCATTTCCATTATTTCTGGCTGCAGCAACCCAAGTACAGTCAAGAAAAGACTGTAAGTATGTGTTTGCCTAACAGATTTAAAGAACAAAGAACATACGTTTTGCTTCTGCAATTCTTCGTTCTCCTCTTTTAGCTTTGAAACTTCTTCTTCCTGTTCCGTTGTATAAGCCTAACAGATAAAAAACAGTGAATGCCATAAGAAACACCAAAGCACAAACCTGAGGACACACCATAATTTTTACCAGTTATCGTATAGGATAGAACAATTCCGGTTCATTTATGTTTAGCACAAACCCGAGCATTAACCATCAATGGTTAGAGAATAGATTGATGGCTGTTTAGTTGACAGAGTATTCCCAACGCCGTAAGCTGCTGCTGGTGGTTTGCTAGTTCCGAAGTTCATGTTGGTCGCCATTAAAATCTGTATACAACTGTATTAAAAAGTTAGGCCAAAAGATTTATATATAGATATATTTATATATAGTACTCTACCTACTTCAATTAAAGAACAAATTAGTTGTTTTTATTATAAAAAAAACAACCAAAAAAATACTGCAAATTAGTTGATTAATTCTCCAATAACGTCTTTTTATAAAAAAATTAATAACAAAGAGAAACATGTACATGAATTAGAAAGACATTTTTTACGATGACATGTCAGTATCACTGTTAATAATGTATCATATTATCTTATGACAATATCATCGTTAATTCTTCAAAATAGCGTGACATTATCTTATGGTGACCAAAATAAAACCAAAACTAAACGCTAGGTATGATTTAAAAAAAGTAATTAAGTGACCAAAATAAAATAAAATAAAAATAATAGTTTAGACAAATTTAGTACTTTATTTTATTTGGTAATCAAATAGTTCTATTTATTCAATTTTAGTAAACTTGAAAAATACTTCAGGTTAAATAATTTAATTTAACTTGAATTTAAAATTTATAATCCAATATATTTGAATTATCAAGTTGAATTGTGATAAAATTAATTTATCAATGTGTCATTGTTATTATACATATGTTATAATAATGTTGGTGTTTATCTTTCACTATACAAGTGATATTTATTTGTATATATTATTTTTTAAAGTAGTTTGATTGATTTTTTAATCCATCACTTGCGTGATGATATTTTTATTTTTTAATGGTTAATTTATACATTTAATCATTTAATAAAAATGATCAATCAATATAATTTATTTTATTTTTGATATAATCCTTTAGTTTTATTAAAAATAAAATATATTCAGAATTACAAATAAAATTTACAACCGTAGTAATAAACTAAATATATAATAAAAATATTTTTTTATAATTAAGATCATACAACGATCATACAAGAAAAAGATTAACAAATATTACTAAATAAACGTGAACAAAAGATAGATACGAACGCATCTAATCGTATTAACAAACGAACCATAAAAGAGATCAAGCTATTGAAAGGTCACCGATAAATCGCTAATCAGATTCGAGGGACATGAGAAAACTATCCAGAAACGCGAATCACGTATCCAAATTCAATCCAAAGGTCTAAATCAGAAAAGATCAACATGATAACAAATAAGCATCATTTTGATTAGTCGTTGCAATATCAAATCTAACTATGATAAAAAGGATAAACGAAACGGTCAAATAACTAAAAACGTACCAAAAGTCATATCAAAACATACCACAAAGATAGAAGAAAACGTGTCATAAAGACATAGTTATTAAAATCTAAAAACTAAAATAAAGTAAAAAATGTTATATAAAAAATAAAAATAATAAAAAAATATTGGCGTCGACAACTAGCATCAAGATTTTGCCGCCGTCTATTAACTAAATTTAAGCAGTTAACAACATTGTTTTTATTTATTGAAACTTCAATACAACCTGCTTTTGTAAAAACATTGCAAATCAAAGTTGGTTTACAAATTAAATTCATCAACTGATGGTAGCTCAAAAGATTTCATTTATCCATTCAAAGACTCACGTCTACATACAAGTCTTTCCCGAAAGCAAAATTTCAATCTCAACCTTATCATTCATCAACGTAATTGAAATTTACACACTTTGAGTAAAACAAAGAACTGTCTATTGTTATAGAACAAGCAGGCAGCTAACAATGGAGGTAAAATCACAACAGCAACGATGATGACATCGGACTTCATTCACCACTTGCGAGAACTTGGCTTTGATGACTTTTTTCTGGACAAAAACATGAAAATCTTTGGGAACAATGCCCTTTTCTTTTTCTTTACAACCTTCACTTCTGATGATGCTTGTTCACTCTCTGTTTTGTTCCCATTGACTTGTGCCTTTGTGCTTTCTACCGTGTTGGCTGGAGCAGGAGGTGCAGGTTCGTAGCCGTTATCTTCTTTCTTTTCCTCACCATTTTCCTTTGGATCTTTTCCACCATTACTCGATCCGGTACCCTTTCGTTGTTGTTCGTGTTTCGCCTTCCACTTTCTCAAGTCCTCTTCTACAGCTAACTCAGGGTTTTAAATAGCGTTCGCGGTCACGTTTTTTGTCGCGTCGCGTTTATCACGGTTGCGGATATAGCGGATGTTATTGTGGTCATTGCGGATATCACAATCGTGAATTTTTTTTAAAGGCGCTGATTTTTTTAATAAAATATCATTTTTTAAAAAGCAAATTAAAATAACGGAATAGTGGTCCATTATTGTCACGATTGGCCACGATCCATTAAATTACGGCCGCGATCCGTCGCTATTGGTGTGATCCCGCTTCACACCGTTATTTTTCTCGATAGCGGTTTAAGACACCGCCACGACCGCGATATCGCTATTCGACCGCTATTTAAAACCCTAAGCTAACTTACCTTTCCTGGCTTTCTCAGCCTTCTCATTAGCAGATCTTTGTGCTTCCTGTCTTTCAGCCATCTCTTGCTTCAATTCTTCCAGCTTTTTTCACGCTTCTCGACTCGGATTGCTTAGCTAGCTCAATCTGAGAAATGAAAGCTTCCACTCTCATGGTGGCCTGTTCTTCTGCCTCATGTTCATGTTTATTAAGCTCATAGTACTCGTCTATGGGAAGGATGACACCTGCAGGTGAACCGATATTAAGCTCATAGTACTCTGTCGCAATGCTTTGATTGAAGCTGAAGCCAACTTTTGTGAAGCCTTGGCAGCCTGTATCTCCTTTTCTGCTGCAAGTAATCTACTATCCATGGTGCATGCAGCAGCTTTTGCTTGCTCAGCTTCTTCCTTTGCTTTGCACAGCTCTTCACGTGCCATTTGAGCTAGTGACTTGGCAATTTCGTGGTCTTCTTTTTTTACATTTTGGGGTTTAATTAGCGTTGTAATTTGTGTACTTAAAAGCTGCAAACAGAAATCTGAAGATTTTCTGAGACTCCCTGCAGGACTTTGATATATGTAATTTTGCCTTTATAAAAGGTAGAAATGTTGCGGAAGACGGCTATCAGATAGAGCAAAATCACAACTGATAATTTGAGAAAATAAAAATAAAGATAAAAGGGACTCAATATTTACGTGGAAAACCCCTAAATAATATAGGGTAAAAACTACGGGCAACGGTAGAAGAATTTCACTATGAGAAAATAAGAATTACAACTTCTTTCGATCTACCAAAGAGAAAACAATGATAATTCTCTCTTGATAAAAAGGAGAAAACAACTCTCAAGAAACTCTCTAAATTCTCTAGTATTGGAAGAAAGCTAGAATGCTTTGGGATGATTTTGAAGCTAAATGAGCTAGGGTATTTATAGTTGAAGCTTAAGGACAAATCTTATAAATACCCTAAAGTACAATGACTAAATGTGAGATTTTACCATTCCTAAATGTCAACAAAAATGTTGTGCACATTTCGGTGCATTTAATGCTTTTTGACTTCATTTCATTTTTTTCTTCAACATGCACTTTCGGTGCATGTGCTAATTTTCAACAATCTCCCACTTGAAGATTTGATTGTTAAGATTTGATTGGAACAATCATATCTTCACACCATTCTTTCTACCTTGTACCATCATGTTGCTTACGTTTCTGACAAACCACAGGAGGATCGACATCAGGTAAATTTATCAACATTGATCGCCTTCGTCATGAAATCTGCTATGTTGTCTTTGGTATGGATCTTCTGCATATCTATCGTCCCTTCTTCCACCTTTTTACGAATGAAATGGTACTGAACTCGTATGTGCTTTGTTCTTGAATGAAATGTTGGATTCCTTGCTAGATGCAAGGTGCTTTGACTGTCACAAAATAGAGAGACATACTCTTGATTGTGTCCAAGCTCCTCCAATAGCATCTTCAACCAAATTGCTTCTTTACTGGCTTGTGTAGCTACTACATATTCTGCTTCTGTTGTTGACGTAGCCACAACTAATTGTAATTTTGAAACCCAGCTTACAGCTCCACCAGCAACTTTGAACACATATCCTGTAGTAGATTTGCTTTTATCCAAATCCCCTGCATAGTCAGAATCTACATACCCATTTATTAGTAAGTTTGATCCTCCATAACATAATGCAACATTTGAGGTCCCTTTGATGTATCTCAGGATCCTCTTTACTGTATTCCAATGCTCTTTGCCTGGATTCACCACGTACCAACTAACTACTCTCACTGCTTGTGCAATGTCTGGTCTTGTGCATATTATAGCGAACATTAAACTTCCCACTGCTGATGCATACGGTACTCGAGACATCTCCACCCTCTCTTCTTCACTGCTAGGACTCATATTTGAGGATAATTTGAAGTTAATAGGAAGAGGGGTAGAAATTGGCTTACAATCTTGCATGCTAAATCGTGACAAGATCTTCTTCAAGTAATTCTTTTGTGAAAGCCAAATCTTCCTATTACTTCTTTCTCGGTGAATTTGCATCCCTAGAATCTTATTTACTGATCCCAAGTCCTTTATTTCAAATTCCCTAGTCAATTGTGCCTTCAATTCTTCAATATGATCTTTGTTGGGTCCTGCAACCAACATGTCATCCACATACAACAACAATATAACAAAATCGTTATCACCAGACCTCTTGAAATAAGTACAACGGTATGCATTAAGTCTGTTGTATCCAAGGCACATAATGAAGGAATCAAATCTCTTATACCAATACCTCGGTTCCTGCTTTAGACCGTACAGAGATTTGTTCAACCTGCAAACCAAGTTCTTCTTTTCTTTTTCTTCAAATCCTTCATACTGGAGCATGTAAATCTCTTCTTCAAGATTTCCATGAAGAAAAGTTGTTTTAACATCTAGCTGCTCTAGATGTAAGTCCAATGTAGCACACATTGCCAAAACTACTCGAACTGTTGTTTGCCGAACCACATGAGAAAATATTTCATTGAAATTAATACCTTCTTTTTAAGCATATCCTTTGACCACCAGTCTTGCACGATACCTCTCAAATTGATCGTCACCATTTTGCTTGATTTTGAAGACCCATTTGTTACCAATTGACTTCCTTCCTTGTGGTAGTGGCACAAGGTCCAATGTATTATTTTTATGAAGGGCTTCAATTTCTTCTTGCATCGCCATCATCCATAGTGAAACATCTAAGTTGTTTATTGTCTCATGGTATGTTGATAGCTCACCGTCCTCTGTTAAAAGGCAGTATGCTATATTACCTTTTATAACATAATTTGAGTGCCAATTGGGACTTCTTCTCACACGATCTGATTGACGAGTTGTTGGAACTTCAGAACTCTCTGGTTCTTGTTCATCATGTGCTGGTTCTGCTTCAGAAGAATCTCCTTGTTCAAACTCCTTTTCCACATGTATCTGTGTAGTCTCTGACTTTTCAACGCTACCATATTCTTCTTTTCTTTGTAGCTTATCTTCTACAAAGATAACATCCCTACTAATGATCACTTTGCGGGCAGTGGGATCCCACAAGCGATACCCCTTTACACCATCAGCATACCCCAAGAATTTACATTTCCTGGATTTTGGATACAGCTTTGAAATTTCTTGGGAGTTGTACATCACGTATACAATACTTCCAAATACATGAAGGTTTGAATAATTAGCTGGTTTACCAGTCCACATCTCCATTGGTGTCTTTAGCTCTATTGCAGTTGATTGAGCTCGATTCACCAAATAACATGCGGTATTGACTGCTTCTGCCCAGAATGATTTTTCTAGGCATGCATCCCTCAACATTGCTTTTGTTATTTCTAACAAGGTTCTGTTCATTCGCTCTGCCACTCCATTTTTGTTGAGGAGTGTTCGCCACTGTGAACTGTCTTTTGATGCATTCTTTCCTGCAAAAGTCATCAAATTCTTCGCTTGTGTATTCTCCTCCATTATCTGTTATGAAACACTTGATTTTATTTCCAGAATCAAGTTCCACCCGCACTTTGAAGTTTTTGAAAGTTGAAAACACATCTGACTTCTTCTTAATATGGTACACCCAACATCTCCTGGAGTAGTCATCAATAAATGAGACAAAGTATTTTGCTCCGCCTAGGGATGTAACTGGTGTTTGTCATACGTCAGAGTGAACCAATTCTAGAATACTTTTGCCTCTAAAATTTGATGTGTTGAATTTCAACCGGCTCTGCTTACTTGTTATGCAATGCTCACACAAAGTAAGTGATACATTTGTTAAGCCTGGAAGTAGCTTTTGCTCCATAAGGACTTTCATTCCTTGTTCTGACATGTGTCCAAGTTTCTGATGCCATAGCATTGCAGAATCTGAACTACATGAGGCAACAGAGGCTTCTGCTTCTAGCAAAGTCTCTCCCTTCAACATGTACAAGTTTGTTGCTATCTTTTTGCCTTTCAGCACCACAAGCGCTCCACGGAACACCTTCATGATTCCTTTTTGTGTTTCAATCTTGCTAGCATTATTATCCAACAATCCGTAGGATAATAAATTTTTCTTCAGGCCTTTCATGTGTCGCACATCTCGAACAACTTTAATTATTCCATCGTACATCTTCAATTTGATGGTTCCCACGCCAATGATCTTTAAGGCATGATCATTGCAACTATACACAGATCCTCCTGAGACAGGTTTATAATGATAGAATCATTCTCTTCTTGAGGTCATGTGATATGTTTCTCCCGAATCAATGAGTCATATATCTGCAAATCGTTTTCTACCTTCCACGGTGGTTGATGCTTCACAACATAGAGCATCTCCAATCATCTGAAGTGTTTGCGGTATTGCCTTGTGGATTGAAGTTTTTATTTAGACTCCAACAATTCTTCTTCAAGTGACCCTTCTTTCCACAGTTGTAGCACTTTAAATTCTTCTTGCTCTTCGACTTCGATCTACCATGTTTGTGACTGCTGCTTTGGCCAGTTCCATTGATCTCTCTCTCATCGTTGTCAACGCTTCTACTTGTTGCAGATTTACTTGTCTAACTTCCTTGTTCTTGCGCCGATTTTCTTCTTATAGAACAGCAGCTACAACGTCATCGAAGACTAGAGTGGTGACATTACTATTTGTCAAGTTGATGATGAGTTGATCATACGAATCAGGTAGACTTTGAAGTAGAAGTTCAACATGTTCTTGTTCTCCTATTGTACATCTTAAGGATGTAAGCTGAGAAAATAAAGTGTTCAACGTGTTTAAGTGCTTCGTCACTGAAGTAGATTCTGGCATCCGGAGAGTGTACAATTTTCTCTTAAGGAAAATTTTATTGTGCAGCGATGTGGCCTCGTACAGTTTGGTGAGGTGATCTCATATCTCCTTAGCTGTCTTCTCCTCCTCGATGCTTGACAATACTTCATCTGCTAATGCTAGATGAAAGTTTGTCATAGCATTCCCGTCCATTTTGATCCATTTGTTGTCATCTGTGAAATCTACCGGCCTTTCGCTGATAGCTGCTAGACAACCGTCTTTCCTCAGGATGACCTTCATCTTCAATTTCCACAATGAGAAATTTCTCCCATTGAACTTTTCAATATCAAATTTCGTTGTCATAGCTTCTAGATAGCTCCCATTATTTCACTATCGTGAATAGTTCTCTGGAACCTTCAAAGAATGGATAATACCTTCTTACTTTCTTATGTTGGAGGATCCACATTTTGGTGGCAACCACAAAGACAATAAGCAGATATTACACACTCTAATCTGTCTCTAATACCAATTGTTGCGGAAGACGGCTATCGAATAGGGCAAAATCACAACTGATAATTTGAGAAAATAAAAATGAAGATAAAAGGGACACAAAATTTACGTGGAAAGCCCCTAAATAATATAGGGTAAAAACCACGGGCAACGGTAGAAGAATTTCACTATGAGAAAATAGGAATTACTACTTCTCTCGATCTACCAAGGAGGAAACAGTGATAATTATCTCTTGATAAAAAGGAGAAAACAACTCTCAAGAAACTCTCTAAATTCTCTAGTATTGGAATAAAGCTAGAATGCTTTGGGATGGTTTTGAAGCTAAATGAGCTAGGGTATTTATAGTTGAAGCTTAAGGACTAATCTTATAAATACCCTAAAGTATAATAACTAAATGTGAGATTTTACCATTCCTAAATGTCAACAAAAATGATGTGCACCTTTCGGTGCATTTAATGCTTTTTGACTTCATTTCATTTTTTTCTTCAACATGCACTTTTGATGCATGTGCTAATTTTCAACAAGAAAAACGATGGATAGATTGTTCTGTATCATCTGTTAATGTTTTTATGCTACTTATATACTACTATGAATCACGATAGTATCCAATAGGAATAGATGGCAGCTCAAACAAAATACGGATTTAAAAATATTTTTGAAGACTGATACACATATATTAGTTATATAATTTTTTCGTATAGAGTAGATACAATTAAAATTTTAAAATGGACATCATCAATAAACTGAATAATTAACCGAGATAATTCAAATTCCAATATCTATCCTAAAATACACTTACATCCGTCATTGGCTCTAGCCGGGAGTTACTTGAAACAGAGTATCTAGCAAAGGCAACCTCCTAATATAAGAAAGAAAGAAATAGAATCCCGAGTGATGGTAAAAAGGTTTAAAATAAGGGATGAAAAGAGTAACATAGTGATCATGATCAAGAAAGAATAGGAGAGTTGGCTGATAAAGATAGACAATTGTTATCTCCCTTTTGAATCTCTCTTTATATATTAAGATTTTTAGAGAATTCTTCGATTTATTTTTCTTCGATTAATCATGATGATATGTGTGACAATTTAATTAAAGGATTAAATTTAAAATTATAATGAAATTGATAGAATGTGTAGATAATAAAGACTTAAAAACGATTAATTTTATTGAATTAATTTAAAATTAGGATCAAATTGATAATAGTGTATCTATTGAGGATTGAGAGTGTAGTCATACTAATTTTGTTAACTACCATGTTAGCTCCTCCGTCTAATGTTAATGACATATAACTTTATTGACATCATTTAAATAGTTAAGTGATCTGATTGACAAAACTAAAAGATCGGTGATCAAATTAAAATTTTATAGTTAAGTGATCATTGATGTAATTTATTATTTATTTAATGATATAATTTTATAAATATTATATCATGTGATGCTATTAACTGCAACGGTTCTTCTTGTAGTCATAAAAAAAATCTATCACTATTTTTATTTGAGTAGAATATTAATTTCAAAAAGTACAATTTAAAATTATTTATATTTATTTAATTATTAAATTAAAGTTATTTTAAAAATAATTTTAAGGGTAGAATATTAATTTTCATTTGACATTGTTAATTGATTATTTAATTAAATAAATCAATATTAATAAATAATAATTTTAAATACTTATTTAATTATTTTTATTTCTAAATAAATTGAGAAATTATTTAATTTTAATTTAATATTTTTATAAGTTAAATAATAATTTTAGTATATATTGAATCAATTATGAATTTGATTTAGTGGTTGAATGTTTGAATATTTTTATGAAATGTTCTAACTTCCATTCATAAATCTAACGAATTTCTTTTATCTTATAGTGGTAGTTAAATATATACTCTGCGAAAGTAAGACAAATGTCCTGCCCAGCTCAAATGGTTCAGCGCTTTGGCTCCTCCCCAAGTTTGATTCCCAGCATGCTCACTTTAGCGAATATTTGCTTTGTTTTGTTTCTAATAAGGTGGTGACAATTAGTTGAATATAATTAATTAAATAATAATATAAATAAAAATTTAAAAATTAAGAAAATAATTAAAAAAGCCACATCAGTTTTGCCGTTAAGTTTTTAACGGCGAGGAACCAAAATGAAACAAAAACTAAACGTTGGGTGTGATTTAAAAAAATGAAAGTTTAGGCATTAAAATGGATCAAAACTAATAGTTTAGGTACTAAAATTATAATTTACCCAATTATATATTAAATAAGTCATTTAATATATTTTTATAATGTATATTATAAAATAAAAGTATATATCATTAAAAATTGTAAACTTGAGAATTTAATTATTTTTTAAAAAAATTGAGGATTTATTTAATTATTAAGTAAAAAACTTATAAAATAAAAATAGAAATATTCAAAAAAAAATTAAATAAAAACATAAATCGTTTTAAAACTATTTAAATAACTAAAAATAAAAAATTATTTATGAAAATTATTGAAATCAATAAAAAAATTAAAAAATATTCAAGAAATATATTAAAATTTTAAAATAATTTTTCTTAAAATTTAAATTTCCTTACTAGATAAATCTTTGTTCTTGTCAGTTTGAATCTATTATCATTTTCCAAACATACTGTTTTAAAAAAAAAATCAATTTTACATTAGAAAAAACAACTTTTATTAGATGCACTCTTATATTAAAGTAATGGTACGATGTAAGATAGTATATCGTATTGTGTATCTCTATCAATGTTTATTAGTTAGCACGTGGACGTGGTATGAAACCAAACGTAAGTTCCCATTCGTTTGGCGACTTCTTTTTTGGTTTACTCTTACTCTTTGAACCGACTGGTCAATGGTCATCCCCCCCCCCCCCCCCAAAAAAAAAGGAATCAAATGCTATATAAAGTTCACATACTATTTGGTGGATTTAATTACTCCACTATAATTTAATTATTTATATTTTATAATTTTTATAAAATGTAATCTCAATTTCGAAGTTAAGATTTTCGGTTAATTCTTTTAAATAACTTGATGTTACTTATATTTAATATATACATATATATATGATAAAATGACATTAGTAATTTTTTATATAGTTTAAAGTGTTTGTCGGATTTTTTAAAGTGTTTTTAAAATTGTGGTCTAATATATATATAATATTTAAAATTTAGCAATTAAATTAAAAATTAATTTTTTAGGGTGTTACACCATCAATGTAACAGAAGATAACATTTGAATGACTATTTTGTAATCAAGTGATTATGTATTACACCATCAATAAGACGGAATTTAAACCTCCAATTGAATGATGACATGTGACACCATCTGATTCGATTGTTAAATTTATTTTAATTTATTAAAAATATGACTAAATTGATAGAATATATGAGTAGTAGAGACCAAATGTATATTATACTGAAATATTTAATCGTCACATCACCCTATTTGTTAAATGTTATCTACAAGTAGTATGATTGATAATAACTAAATAATTAGGTGATCTGATTGATAAAATTAAAAGACCGATTATCAAAGTTAAAAGGAATAATAGTTAAGTAATCATAACTCAAAAATTTATCATAGGAAAAACAAATCGAACACTTCTGTCGCATTATATTTTCATGTTAAATAATTTATTGTCACGTCAATAACATTAGAACTTATGTTGATATAGTACCAATCAATATTGATCATAACATCTACTTAATTCATTTTATTAGTTCAAGTATTTAATTGAGTGAAAAAAGAATAATTAATTTTCTTTTAGAATAATTTGAAGAAATTTTAAACGTTTAAAGGAAAAAAGCACAAGGAAAAGAAATCCAATCAACTATGTTTGATTGGAAACTCTTATTGTATTTAGCTTGGTTGAAGAAGAAATAAAAAAACTAATCCAAATCATGAACGGTTTAAATCTCATCCACTTAAAAAATATTAAACCATAAATAAAATATTTTCTTTTTTCCTTCTCTTACCTAATAGAAACAGAATTTCCCCTGACTAAACATAGACGATCAAGTCAGTCAACTAAACTTAGATAAAAATATATGCTTTGGAAATGTATCCTTCAACGAATATACATAAAACCAAGACATTTGTTGCATTTACTAAAAAGGAAAATTATCTGATAACGCTTTCACACCCTATAGATGCGCATGTAACTGCTGAGAAATAATACTTTATTTTATCATTTATATCGCTTAATAAGTTCTATTTTCTTTTTTGAACAATTCCTACTTAGGAGAGGGAGAAGGAGAATTTTGGTTCTAATAGATATTGAATCAACAACTAAAGAGAGAAAAGAAGCGTCAACTAAAAACTTTTAACCACTTGGCATGATTTAGAGATTGTTGACGATAAATTCTAATTTTTAGATTTTTAAATTTAAATAAGCCTTATTTACATAATATATATATATATATATATATATATATATATATATATATAAACTATTCTTATAAGATCACATTTTTGGAAAGGGATAGGATTATCTCCATACATGCATGTTTCACGAGTCTGCAGACAACAGACGACTTCTTAGTCTATACTATAAAGGTATGAATTGCAGAAGATGCAGAGTAAAATTCGATTCCCGAATTCCCTATATATACGCTTCACTAATTCAGCCTTGTGCATACCGGAAAACAAGCTTTTCCCCTCTATACCAACACAAGTATATTTCCACTTCAAAGACATGCATCGTTCCGCAGATTTCCCCAGGCTTAATGCCCGCATGAATTGCAGTAACTGTGGGAAGAAAAGTAAGTGCAAAGGATGTGTGAGCAAGTGTTTTCCAGTGCCTTTGACTAAAGAACAGGTGAAACGTATACTTGAGAGCTTTGACAGCAACGGAGATGGTCGGCTTAGCAAGCAAGAACTCAAGGATGCGTTCTATTACATAGGGTCGCAGTTCCCCAGATGGCGAGTTGCACAAGCGCTTCATCGTGCTGATGGAGATCATGATGGTTACATAAGCCAAGGCGAGATGTATGGTCTTGTTGAATACGTTTGGCAATGTGGTTACACTATTTCCTAACTAGTTAATCTCATATTTGGCGACTGCCCTGCGAAAGAGAAGGCTACAGTAATTTGTATGCTTAAAATCTGCAGAGAGAAATCTGGAGAGGAACTCCAGCCCTCTACAGGTGTTCAATATATGTACTAATTTTGCCTTCATAATTGTTGGAAGACTAATGTGTGGATTCATATGTGTGTGTTTTTTTGACGAATCACAAAGGAGTATCTAAACTAAAGTATTGAATCTAAAACACTAGAAATAAACTAGGATAAAAGGTTTAGAAATAAACTAAATGAGTACTTAAAATATCAGTTTTGATCTGTTTTAATTCCTAAACTTTTAATTTTTTCTAAAATCATACATAACATTTAGTTTTTGTTTTATTTTAGTACCTCACCATTAAAAACTTAACAGGCGATTTGCACGTGACACCTCTTTTATGGGTAAATTACATCATTTATCATTCAACTATCTTCTCACTCCTATTTTGGTCACTAAAGTTTAATTCTTTTTTAATTTAATTACTTAACTTTCAAATTACTCATAATTTAGTCACTCTAACTTTAAATTTTTTTATTTTCAATTATATATTAATAAAATAATAAAAAAATCATGTCACAAATATTATTAATAAAATAAATTAGAGTGATTAAAATAAGAACAATTTGAAAGTTGAGTAGTTAAATTAAAATTTTTAAATTTTAGTACCAAAATAGGAGTTAGAAGATAGTTGAGTGATGAATGATGTAATTTACTCATAAAGAAATGAAGTGCAATTAAGTTGACATGTCGATATTATTGAAAAAGTAATAATTTAGATATTAAAAGTGTAATTTACCCAAGATTTTTGGATTGGAACGGAGTAAGCATACAATTAAAAAGAAGAAATTAGAGTGGAGGAATTTTTCGATGCCTACCTGATGAAGACCCTTGTTGTTGTTTTTTCATTCAAATGTAAAATAAAAGCATAATTTAGGGATTTTTTTTTGTTGAACTTAAATTTTCTAAAACCTACCTTCCTACGCAAGACTCATTCGGATCAATACGAACAAAAAGTGGCTCTAGCATTGGTTCGTAGAAGTCTATATAAACCCTTTGGTGTCACACGAGTACAGTAAGACAACGAAAAAGGGGAAGTGCCCATTTCAGCCTGTTGCCTATCGACCTCAAAATCCTTGCCAGACAATGGGTTACAAGCACATCGTTCCGAAAGGCCCCAGAACAGCGGCTGGTAAGCAGGAGCTTCGGAAAGTATTCATGGATTGCGACATAGATGATAACAGAATACTGACCAAGGAAGAGATCAAGAAGGCGTTTGATCGATTCGGTTCCTTCTTCCCTGGTTTCAGAGCTTGGAGAGCACTGCAACATGTTGATAAAAATAAGGATGGGTGCGTTAGCGTGGAGGAGCTTGACGACCTCATTGAATACGCTTACAAACGTGGATACATAAACGTTAGTTAATTACACATTAACAACTCCTACTTCTATCCATGTAAAAGTATGTGTTACTAGTTTGGAAGTGTCAGGTTTAGTAGCTTCTGATTTATCGTACGGGTTTTACTGTTTTAGACCGTGTGTTACTAGTTTTATCTTGTGTATATTACTTGTCCCTGATTAGTTTACAGTATGGGTTTTAAATTTTAATATATGAAATGAAGATGAAGAAGGTGACGTGGTCAAAGTTCAAATTTTTGTGGACCTTTCTTTCATTTTCCACGTATTTATTCTCATCAGTGAATGAGATAAATATTCGATGCTTGATATCAATGTACATCAAAAGTGATTTTGAATGAAACAGGATAAGATGAGAAGCGATTTCTTAGAATCCATATCTTCTTTTTCAATTCAATCTTCTGTTAGAAGGTATATAGATTGGTATCTCCTACAGTAGATTTCCACATGGAATGAACCAAAGTTTAGACATTTTAATTAGGTGTGTTAAGAAACCACAAAATTTACATGAAAGCATCACAAATACTAACACGTGTAATTACTAGAGGGTTTAATTAAGTTTACCACCGAATTCCTTATAATCTTTCTTTTTAAAATTATAGTTCTTTTTGGGACAATTCTAATTCCTTGAACATGTTTCATTTACACATAATAATTTTATTTTAATTTTTTATGCCATATTTGATAGTTGAAATTATAACTACACAATTACATAAATTTAAATAATGAATTATTATTAATTATTATAAAAAAGGATTGATACTACAAATAATTTCTAACCTTTGATTAAATGGTTATTTTAGCTCTTATTTTTTAAAAATTATTTTAGCCATCAATGTTTTAATTTAAATTAAATTTATCTTTATTTGAATGAAAACGGTTAGTTGAGTAACGATCAACACTTATTGTTGACGCGACACTTTCATATATATACTTAAGTGTTAATGTGACGTCAAATATTATTGATGTGTTGCATCTATTAAATTAATATCATTTATCTTTTTAGTAAATTAATCTCATTCAATATGATTATGAAATGTGTTATCTTCTTGTTAGTTTAAAATTGAAGAAATTAAATTTAATGATACGAGAGATCAAACTCCAGTGTGATAGGGAATTAGCGTCTAACCACCAGCAAGTATGAATGCCAATGACATTTGCTTTGACAATGAGATCAAAAACCTCACAGATTTTGCAGAAAAAAACATTTAAAAGTGAGGATTCTGCATTTGTAAACTGTAAATTTAAGCCAACATCCCTTTCTTCTTGCTTTCTATGCTCATCTGTTCAATCGAATTCTTGAATGGATTGAGTACATAAATCATCTAAACTCGAGTGAGTATCAAATACTGTTGGTTTTTGGCAAAAGTCCCACATTGGTTGTGTATAAGGAGGAGGGGAAATTCTTTTGTTATAAATAAAGCCCTCCTCCTCCTTAGTTAATCATCCCACAAATATAAGCCTTCTTCTATTTTAAAGGCTATTTGTATTCTTTCTCTCTTTGTAATATTTCCTCTATTAGTGAAATATTTTGGTGTTCTCTTTTATGTCTATTTAATAGCTATTGTCGGGTATAGTTGTTGTCAATTATTGTCCTATTAAAATTACTTGTCTTGGTAGTTCTGTCTAAGGAAAGTGGGTTTTAAGAGGGACCATTGTGACCCCTCCTCTTTCCTGGGAATCTACCTTGGGGTGATTTTTAGTACAATCGTTTTCACACTAGTCACCTAGATAATAGTTTTCACGGTGAATCTGTTATTGGTGGAAATTAACCCGAATTTCACAACAATTGGTATCAGCGCTCTTGGTTTATTTTAGTATGCTCTGTGGTTGCGGCTTAGGCTGATCTTCCACATCAGAAAAATTTCCTTGGGATAATTGACATTCTGCATTGGCAGCTATTAAATAGAATTTGTAGCAGAAATGACAGACGCTTCTTCATCTTCAATTTTGGCAAGAAATGCTGTGACAAATGTTAGATTTGCAGTGGAGATTTTGATGGCACCGGTCATTTCGGCATGTGGCAAAGCGAGGTTCTAGATGCCCTATTTCAGCAGGGTCTAGACATTGCTATTGAAGGAGAGAAACCAGATGATGTTGAGGAGAAAGAATGGAAGAGGATCAATAGAATGGCATGTGGTACTATTCGATCGTGTCTTTCTAGAGAGCAGAAGTATGCATTTTCTAAGGAAACTTCTGCAAGTAAATTGTGGAAGGCACTGGAGGAGAAATTTTTGAAGAAAAGCGGTCAGAACAAACTCTACATGAAAAAGAGACTGTTCCGCTTCAACTATGTACCAGGTACCACTATGAATGATCACATTACTAGCTTTAATCAGCTGGTGACTGATCTGATGAATATGGACGTGACTTTTGAAGACGAAGATCTGGCTCTGATGTTGATGGGATCACTTCCTGATGAGTTTGAGTATCTTGAAACTACTCTACTTCATGGGAAGGTTGATGTGTCTCTCAGTGAAGTAACTGCTGCCTTGTATAGTTATGAATTGAGAAAGAAAGACAAACAAGAAAACACAAGTGTCGAAGCAGAAGCTCTTGTTGTTAGAGGCCGTTCCAAGAGTCAGAATAAAGGAAGCAGAGGGAGATCGAAGTCAAAGTCCAGATTGAGCAAAGATGAATGTGCCTTTTGTCGAGAAAAAGGGCACTGGAAGAAAGAATGTCCCAGGCTAAAGAATAAAGGCAAACCTGAAAGGGGGAAGGCTGTCTCAGAATCAAATGTGGTCGAGTATGATGATGGAGATTCAGATTTCGCATTCGCTGCTACGCCATCAACCAGCTGTTCCAGTTCATGGCTGTTAGATTCAGCTTGTAGCCACCATATGACCCCAATAGAGAATGGTTCTTTGATTTTAAAGAACTAAAAGGTGGAATTGTCTACACAGCAAATAATTCCCCTCTTGACACACTTGGGATTGGTTCAATTCGCTTGAGGAATCAGGATGGATCAATCAGAACCTTAACAGGTGTCCATTATGTACCAGATTTAATGAGAAATCTCATCTCTGTGGGAACCTTAGAGTCAAAAGGTTTAGAAGTGAGGGCAAAAGATGGGATTATGAGGATTATCTCTGGTGCACTGGTGATAATGAAGGGAATCCGAAAAAGAAACAATGTGTATTACTTTCTGGGTAGTACAATTGTTGGGACAGCAGCAGTGGCAGCTTCTACTGATGAACAGGAGTCAGAAGCAACCAGGTTATGGCATATGCGCTTGGGGCATGTTGGTGAAAAATCCTTGAAATTACTGATAGATCAAGGATTATTGAAGGGTGCTCGGGCTTGCAAATTAGCTTTTTGTGAGCATTGCATCAAAGGGAAGAAGACGAGGGTGAAATTTGGAACAGCAATCCATGATACTAAAGGTATTTTGGATTATGTTCATTCAGATGTATGGGGGCCTTCCAAGACAACTTCATTGGGAGGAACACACTATTATGTCACCTTTGTTGATGATTTTTCCCGGAGAGTTTGGGTGTATCCAATGAAGACAAAGGATGAGGTGCTAGGATTTTTCCTTAAATGGAAAAAATGATGGAGACTCAAACAGGCAGAAAAATCAAACGTCTCCGTACAGACAATGGTGGAGAGTACAAAAATGATCCATTTCTGAAAGTCTGTGAAGAGGAAGGTATTGTTAGGCACTTCACTGTCAGAGGTACACCACAACAGAATGGAGTGGCAGAGCGTATGAACCGGACATTAGTGGAGAAGGTTCGGTGTATGTTGTCTAATGCTGGGTTAGGCAAAGAATTTTGGGCTGAGGCTTTGGTCTATGCTTGTCACCTTGTCAACCGCTTACCATCGACTGCTATTGGTGGTAAAACACCATTAGAGAAATGGTTTGGAGTACCTGCTACAGATTATGATTCCTTACATGTGTTTGGTTCCACTGCATACTACCATGTTAAGGAGTCAAAGCTGGATCCAAGAGCAAAGAAGGCGATTTTTATGGGGATCACCTCTGGTGTGAAAGGCTATCGTCTTTGGTGTCCAGAAACAAAGAAAATAATCTTCAGCAGGGATGTTACCTTTGATGAATCTACCATGTTGAGAAAGGTGACTTCAGAAAAATTGGAGCAGACAGATGGAACTCCCAAAAAGGTGGAGTTTGAAGGAAGCAAATTTGTCCCAACCAGTAAAGAAAATGATGTTGACTCTCCTATGGTAGAAGAAGAGTCAGATGAAGAAGAGGTTCAGACCCAAGAACCTCCACAGCAACATGAATCAATTGCACTCAGAAAGGGAAAGAGGACCATTAGACAACCTGCTCGTTATGCTGATATGGTCTCTTTTGCATCACCAATTGCAATTGATGACGTTCCTGCCACTTTTAATGAAGCAGTTCAAAGTTCAGAACATAAAAGTGGAGGATTGCCATGAATGAAGAAATGCAATCCCTTCAAAAGAATCAGACGTGGAAACTAGCTAGTCTTCCGAAGGGAAAGAAGGCAATTGGGTGCAAGTGGGTATATGCAAAGAAAGATGGATTTCCTGACAAGAATAACATCCGCTACAAAGCAAGATTGGTGGCTAAAGGCTACGCTCAAACGGAGGGAGTTGATTATAATGAAGTATTTTCTCCAGTTGTAAAACATTCCTCCATCAGAATTTTGTTGGCTTTGGTAGCGCAGTTGGATTTGGAACTAGTTCAGATGGATGT